AGACAGAGAAACAACAGCCAGAAAAGCAAATATAATGCTCTAATATTAAACTTTTTGTGAAGTAAAAAAAAAAAAAACACACACACACACACACACTGATTCAGAGCACAATTGGCTAGAAAAGTGCTGGCTGGCGATAATCACTGCATCAGCAAGACTTTGTTTTCTTACAGTCCCGGCATCTTTCTCTTTGTCTCGGCGGGGTTTTCCTTCTCTCTTAAAGTACCCTCACTCTCTCTGGCGCTGTACACACACTTTTGGCGAACGGCATTGAGTATATAGTGAGGCATGATGAGTGTTATTGTATATTTGTGTGTGGAGGTAAACAAAAAGGGGACAGAGGGAGGGAGTTTGAAGAAGAAGAGGAAATGAGAGAGGGGAAATATTAAACAGACCAAGGAGATTATACGATAGATAAAAGGAGAGATGAAGAGGAGGGGAAGGGGGGTATTTTGGGATGGGAAAGAGGGAGAAAGAGAGAGGTGGAAAGACAGAAACCGACCACCTCAAAGTAAGGAGAGAAATACAGAGGAGGGAGAAATAAAGAAGGCGTAGAAAGAAAGAGACCACCCTACAGTGAACACTAGAGAGAAGGATTTCAACGTCTATTTCTCTCCCAGCACAGCTCCCCTCAGACCAACACCGAGGCTGGAGTTGCTCTCACTGCCAAGTCATCCCTCACTTTACCCTTGTGTGTATGTGTGTGTGTGTGTGTGTGTGTGTGTGTCTGTGTGTGTCTGTGTGTGTCTGTGCATACTCGCTCATGCAGAGGCCCTCAGCACACCAGTAAACTATGGCTGTGCTCTGGTTATTGCTTTCAACAGAAAAGCTTGAAAACTTCATATAATCCAGGATGATGCAACACTCTGAGTGTTTGTGTATGTGTGTGTGTGTGTGTGTGTGTGTGTGTGTGTGTGTGTGTGTGTGTGTGTGTGTGTGTGTGTGTGTGTGTGTGTATGAGACGAATCTCTGGGCAGTCAGGACAATCCTCTCTAGTATTAACACAACAAGGAAACATACATTTCCCCATTGAATGCCGCACTTGTGAATGGACCTATGTTGAGTCAAACAATACCCTCTCTCTATAGAAATAACACACAGTGTGTTGTGCGTGACCTCTGGTCTTTTCCATAGCGATAGTCCATCTATGCATGATAAGAGACCAGTGTGGTTTCATAAGGTAAACATGGAGAAACCCCCTCCAATCTCCATCAACAGACCCCCCTAAAGCTCCCTATTTTAAGCCAAAATTAGACATTCAAACAGCTCCAACTCAATAAAGGAACTTTGTATAGGTTTGAGGCAAATTGAGTTAGGAGAAAGAGCCTATGTGTTTGAATGAGTCGTACTGGCCTTTGATAAAGCGCATATGTTTATATTCGTAAAGCAGGGGTCACTGTGATATTGTCTGGTATGTGGAGCGTTATAAGGGGCTTGTGCTTAACTCAATCTGCAAGATAAACAGCTTCGGGGCAAGAGCGCTGAGAGGATTCGTGTAAGTTCGCTCCCTTCTTCCTGCCCCCTTTTCTTTCTCCTTTTCCTCACTTGTTTGTCCTTCATTTTCAAACTCACTCCTTCAATCAGACATTTATTCTTCCTTGCCAGTTCTCCACAATCTATACTCCATCTTTGTGTACTCCTCCACCCATCCATCTGAAGGATTTGTGAACTGAGTGGGTACTTTGTGAATGTGGTGGCTCGTGGTCCAGCTGGGGGTCGCTGTAATCTGGGGACAGGGTCAGTTTCAGAGGTCACAGGTCAGGACTGATGGGTGCAGTTGGCACCGTCCTCAGGGAATGTTTGTGTGTGAGTGCTCATTATGTTACTGGGCCAGTTTTTGCCCCGACTTCCTTTCTGTCACTCCTCTGTCACTCTCTTCCTTCCTGCTTGCTTGAACAAAGTCCCTCACTCTATTTTTCAAAATACTTTCAACACTGCAAAGTACTCCCCTTATTACTTGCACTACAATATCTGGAGCCCAAAGAAGCACTTCACCAGGTTCAAACACAGTCAGGCGTGTCATTAAAGACGCACTCAAATAATTTAGTATTGTGCTTCCATAACGTTGTTTAGCTCACAGGTTGGAGATTTTTTTTTTATGATCAGCAGATGATGCAGTGGAGACCGAGATATCCTAACTTTTAGTCCCTAGTATACACTGGCTCCTGCAATTTCCATTATGCAGCTCTGTTGCTTCTTTCATTAGACCTTCCTGCCTCCCAAATGCCCACTTCTTTCAAACCCCACACCCCTAGTTTTTAATGTAGGCTGGTGAATAAGAAATGTGTCCAAAAAAATATAACCCTGATTACATCATCAGGGTTGTTTTTTGATTTTTTTTTACTTTGGAGAGCTCCCTCCACAGCTACAAAAGATATTTTACAACTGATTTCACAGACTGAGTATTTCTCCTCATAATGAGTAAGCTCATGTGTAAAGTTGGCCACTTTAAAGTGATACGCATAGAGCCAGTTTGACCTCAAAGCGTTCCAAGTACCAATTTCATAATAAATAGACAGTAAAATGAAATAATAATTAAAGCGGTTGACAGTATTGTGAGTGTAAACTAAACAAAATAGGTTTCTGCATTGTTTGTTTTTATACAGCATCACATCGAACTGATTAGGATACTACTATAAGGTGATCAAAGAATTCATACACATTATAGACTAAAAGGCAGAACACTCTGGAATGGTCTCTTCGATCAATAATATAATAAAGATACTCACAATTTCTGCTATATATCAAAAAGTAATTAGCATCTCCCAGTTCACTGTCATAATTTATTCCACCAGTGGTGAGTGGAGACAGAGGTTGAGGTCATATGCATAGCATCATTTCAGTTCAGAGAATGTCCTCAGGTATGATTGTCTTGATTTGAGATCTATGAGTAAAAGCAGCAGATCACAAATAAAAAGTGACTCTAGCACACTTACATCTACACACACACACACACACACACACACACACACACACACACACACACACACACACACACACACACACACCCACACATACATACAACTGCTTCAGGTTGAGATGAAACACAGATAATTAGCTCTAATGGAAACCAGACTTGCAAATCTAGTCTCTCATTCTGTGTGGGTGTGCGTATGCTTGTGTGAGTCCAACTTCCTCTCCCCCCATGTCTTTTTGTGGTGTTGAGGGTTAATGTAAACCAGCTCTTGTTACCCCATAATGGGTAACTTCAGAAAGGGATGGAAGTGAGGGAGACAGAAAGCTGAAAGAGGTAAGACAGGTAGGTCTCTGCCAGAGTGTTTAAACAACCAAACAAACAACAGCTTGGCCCTGCTGAAGTGAGAAATCCTATATTACAGAGATTTACAGCTCCTGGCATTATTAAAAGACACACTGGCCTGCACCTTTGACTTTTAGATCAGTTTAAGGACAGCAAAGCAAGGAGATATTAACTTTGATTAATGAGCGAGAGAGAGTGTGTGTCAGTCATCAAAGAGTCTATCATACCACACTTAAATCCAAAGAGCCAGATGCCTTCACACTGATAACAAGCGTTCATCCCATTACCTTCAAACATCAAAGAGGGGGGGCAGGAGCCCTCTTCCCCCTCTCTGTCTCTCTCTGTGGAATGTATTTCCCTGTTTGGTAGGCGTGAGAAATCTCCCTCCGAGTGTGTATAACCTATATGTGTGTACGTGTGTGTCTTTCGAAGCCTCAGAGGTGACATTCCTCCGTGTCAGAGCAACAGCCTCAAGTTTAAGATAACACGGCCACGGTGATCTAAGGGTGGGAATCGATTCCCCCCGGTGGCTGGCGAGGGCCTCGGGTCAAAGCTGATGGCTTTACCTTCCACACGCAACCTGTGATGCAAAAACACAGTAATGCTCCCATTATCATCCCTCAACAACCCAATGGAGAGATGTGGAACGTACTATGAGGTGTTTGTATTGACCTCTGTGTCTTTCATCTATGATATGTCCCACTGATATTACTGTAGTACTCCGGTAAGTGCCTATTCCTTTAGGAACCTCACAGTATTTCATAGCAGACATAATGTGTGGCATAGTAGTCCTTAAGCATTTATTATGGGACATTTAATAGAGGTAAACTATTTTTTTTTTAGGCAAGTAAAGGCAATGCAATCTAGTCCTTTTGTCCTGGTCTAATCTAGTCCTACCCTCCCTAAATACATCTAAGGACCTATTTTGTATTGTTATATATTTATTGAGATATGTTTTGCAGGAAGCTCAATAGGTTAAGTGATTAGACTGTTTGGATTTTGCCCAAGAAGACTTATTTCCCATGAGCCTCTAATTAAGAGAAGATTTACGTCTACGCAGACCAGGATGTCCCCGATTTACATATCTTTATATTTGCTCTAGAGGTACTTCATGCATACTGTTTAAGTTAAAAAGTGAGTTTTTGTGGCACAATGCATCTTCATTTCAGTGCAACTTGAACCAACAAAATCAATCAACAGACAAATATTGTTAAATAATTTGGAATATTTAGGAGGAATTTTATAACAATGATGATTTTATACAACAACTGCATTACAATTCCACTGTGTAAAGTCAGTTTTCATTTAAACATCATGTGTACTTTAAAAGTCTGGTCTTAATCATTTATTCAGTTTGCATTATAACCTGTATCCAGCACTGTCAGAGCTCTTGAGGTAGCTGCTGCAGCACCTGCAGGAGACTTCCATGCTGACCTGTGGCTCGGAGGACATCTGGGAATATCATGCTTGCCTCCCACAGCTCCACATTCACCCTGTTCAAACAGACTACCAGCTAATTATGGCTTTCCCAGATCCCTGAGCTCAAGAAATCACTACAGACTAAGCCATGGGTATGAGATGTTTGCTTTTGCCCCCCCCCACTGCTGTGGTTTAGTTAACTGGGGATTCAGCAACAACCAATGAAAATAAATTCTTTCTCAAAGTACTGAGACTATGGGAAATGAGTTTGTTTCAAAAAAATGAAAGGTATTTTTGTGTGTCAAGTAAGTACTCATATGTCTTCAGATGGTGGTCCTGAAAATGACCAGTTTATTATTTTATTATTCTTGTTATAGAGATTAAGTTTAAGTCTATAATGAATATCCAGACAGTTTAGAGGTAAGAATGATACTTTCATTTTTTTAATTCAAGATATTACCAAATATTTACAACACTCAAATGTGCAGACTCCAAATCCATTCAGCATTCTGAGATATCACAAAAATAAATAACTTTTATTTGAGTGGGGGAAAGGAATTTCGAACCTGTGTAGAAAAATAAATACAAAATACTTGCTGTGAAACAATTGTCACAGGGAATGTGGAATGAATTGTCATGTTTCTCTCTTGTTTCAAAACAGAGCAGTTCCTTGGAGCTCATTTTGTTTTTACAACATTCATAGTCACAGTGGTCTTTATTTCTTCATATCCGTCCTGTCCTAAGTGCTCCCTTGCAAACATTACAGTCCATGCAACGGGAAATATGAAAAGCCCTCTCTCCTCTGAGGCCTGAAGCACTGCGGCCTCAGCTGTGTGAGACCTGTTTCAGTGTATCTGTGGCCTGATCCACTGGTTCTTCAGTCTGGATAATCTGTAAAAGAAATAAGAAAGATCAATACATAGAAACGTGTCGTTTGTAGGACTTAAGTTGTAAAAACCTTTCTTGATGCCTTCGTAAGAGCTATATTTTCAGTCATGGAACCTGGTTGTGACCTATTGGGTAAGCAATATAAACATAAACTTTTGTTTTCAGTAAGTAGAAACTTTTAAGGTAGATGGTGAAATCTTGTGGTTGTTTTACAAATCATGTGCGTAATTGTTTAGTACAATCTACAGGGAGTTTTCATAACAAAACATGTAGATGTGTTTTTGGGTGGGGGGGGGGGTGCTATACAAACATTGCCGGAAAAGTATCCCTATTGGAAAATTATAACTGTATTACTTTTATTTTCCATCTGGTGTCGGTGCGTAAAATGCGCATAGGAACATTCTGGCACCGCGTGTCTTCCTAGAGGAATAAAAGTGAAAGGAGCTCAGCCTACCATGATGCACCATCCGCAGCAGCCCTGCTAGTGGGACGTAGTAGACAAGGACCACGCGCCCCCCATCCTCCAGACCGAGAACGCGTAGCTCAGGCGCTCGTGCGCCACGTAGCTGCAGCTGGTCCCTCGCGCGTCCAGCTCGTCGCTCTGCAGAACCTGGCACAGGAAGTCGATGTACCGGGCCGCGAGCTTCAGCGTCTGGATCTTACTGAGTTTGTCCGACGGGAGGGTGGGAATGATCTTACGTAACGAGGTGAATGCCTCATTGAGGGACTGCGTCCGTTGCCGCTCGCGGATGTTGGCCATCACGCGCTGTGTCTGTAGGTCATCGAAGGAGGGCTCGGGGCTGCTGCTGCCTTCGCTGCCGCCGCTCCCTGCGCTGCCGCCTCCTGCGCCGCAGCTCTTCCTGCATTTCTTCTTCCCGGGGCTCGGACTCTCCAGGTCTCCCTCCTCGTCTTCGTCGTCCGCGCTCCTGCGTGTCGCCCGCCGCTTCCTCGCGCCTCTCCGCGGCAGCTCACGGTCGGTCTCCTCCTCGCTGTTCCCCGCACTGTCCATTGGGGAGGAGTCCTCTTCCCGCATCGTGTCCTCCAAAACTTTTCTGTGGTCTGCTGGACCGTAATAACCCCTGACCTTAATCCACTGAACTGGTTACAAAATCAATAAACACGACAGGTAATGAGAAGTGTGGCCTGCTGTAGGGGCGTGGGCTGGTATAACGGCAAATCTCGTGCGCCACAGACAGGGAGAGGTATCTGCCAGACTGGGAGAGACCGGGGTACTTATAGCGGGGAGCGGGCAGGAGGATTTTGGGGAGCGTTGTGATTGGGTGAGGAGGGGTGTGTAACATAATACTGCAGGAGAAGGAGAGTTCTAGCTATAATATCAGGAATGGTAAGACATTCAGGATCCTTTGCACAACATTGTGAAGGGAGGGGGGGGGTGTTGTAGCAGGGGTGTTATTGAATCATAGGTGTACATTTGTGCAAGGACAGTAGGAACTGTCCCGCCTTCAGTGATGAATTATTTCTTCTTTCCCTATCCCAGTTTATTTCTGCTCCAAATGCATGGTGCTGTTTTTTAGTCTCACTTCATTAACACAGAAATTCGGTTTCAAGTCTGTTAAATTCATGTCATGTTTCAGACTAATTTGAGCCATTTTTTTCTTTGTTTGTTTCTTAAACGGTTTTAAAAGTTGCTGCTCTGCGTCAAACTGCATGATCCTCTACTTCCTTTTGCAAATAAATCAAAAACAGGGAGAACATATCAGAAATTCCTCCACAAGCTTGTTGTCTCTTGCAGGCCTCTAATCTTCCTATTACGGGTCCAGACGCGGCCTGAAAAGGGAGCAGTGGTGGCGGTCGAAAATATCAGACCTACTGAAACACAGGAGGTTGCCACGGCAGGAGGTCTCTGCTCGTAAGCAGACCTTGCTGTTTATTTTCCCGTCAGCGGCCCCGCGTTGAGGTATGCGCTTAAATGGGTCTGACTCCCGCAGGGATCAGGACACCGCGGCTCAGGTTTAAAAGACGGGCCGTCCCAGGGAGCTCTCAGGGCGGATCCGTGCACACAGCGGGGTCGCTAAAGGCGGTGTACTGCTGGAGCGCAATACAAACACTGGAGGTGATAAAGATGGACGGGAGAGAGAGGAAGAGAGGAAGAGAGAGAGAGAGAGAGAGAGAGAGAGAGAGAGAGAGAGAGAGAGAGAGAACGGGGCACTCGCACACACACAGTCCAAACACGCACACATGACCCCCCAGCGCTAGGGCCTAGCCAATATATAATATCAAAATCCAGCAGAGATTCCCTATACATGTGGCTGAAACTGGATCTGGCAACTTTTGGAGGTGGTCTGTGGTGTGAATTATCCACAGGGGAGGCCTCACCTCTGATGAGGGATGATGACACACGAGGAGGGCCACAGCAGGCCCGGTCTGGCCCCTTTTTATCAGGAGGACCCGCCACAAGCGCCTTTCGGGCCTGGATCTCCTGCACCAAATATCTCTCCGTCTTTCACCCCGAGACGAAGAGCATGTCTGGGGGTCTGTTTACCTCCCCGTAGCTTTACCTCCTCTCTTTAATCAGATATCCGACTCAATTCACACCTCAGTGCCAAAGATAATATCCAGCGTCAAGCAGTGAGTCTTGAATTTGCGATTTAAATCCATTGAATCTTTACTGATTTGTGCGTAACGCGGTTGGTAAAGCTTTAAGGGCCGATAAATCTTTCTTATTTGTTCTCGTTTTTTCTTTTGGAGGACAACCTAAAGCTGTCCTTGGTCTCAGCATCACCTGTTCAAAGTCTGCACCGGGTCACTCTCCAAGGTGCTGAAACGACACACCTGAAGTCTAGCAGTCAACCTCCTTAAAAATGGCCTCATATATGTCGCTGTTTCAAACATTTACACATTTAAAATAGTATTGCCTTCTAGTACTACACAATAAATGCATTTTCCTCTTACACTTGTCATTAATCGACACTGTGAATTTAAATTAGATTGGGTGTTTTCTTTATAATTGTGATGCAGAGTAAAGAACACATGAGTTATCGTAGCATGTACATTTATTTTAAAACAACAATAAGTCACATATATTAAATGAAATATTTGAAGAAGGTTCGCTCGGCCTGCTTAGGTCAAGTCTAATAATTTATGCCACTGGCAAAATAATATTATGCTGTCAGTTCTATACTTTTTTTTAAACGTTGTGAAAAGAAAAAGTGTGTAGTCCTTTCAAATATTTCCTGTTATCTAGTTCCAACATTTCAGAATGAATGCTCAACCTTTTCAGTGTCTTTGTCATCTCTGACATCAGTGTTAAATTCGACCCAGTCAAATCTCCATGGAATAAAGGTCATATTGGACTGTTTTGACTGTTTTGCTCCAGCAGGTCCGTCATGAAGGAGATGTAAACGATGGCCAGACGGAGTGTGTCGATGCGCGACAGTCTCTTCTCGTAAGCGAATGTGGGAACTTTCCTCCTCAGTTCATCAAACGCCTCATTCAGGCTAAACATCCGCTTCCTTTCCCGCACATTGGCCGCCTGCCGTTGGACCACGGTGATGATCCTCCTCCGTTTGGACTTGCTGGGGCTGTAGTACCGCGGTGAGCCCATCACCAGATGTTCAGAGCGCACGCCGTTTTCCAGGTTCTGGTTCCAGGGCAGGTCATTCAGCCGCATCGGGTCGTTCGGGCTGGACGGGTCATTATCCACCTGCTGATTTGGTTCCAAAGTGTACTTTTGCGGAAACTCCATCAGGTTAATGTCATTGACAAAATGTATCAACGTGGAGTCCACTAAGTGGCCTTGCATCTCCGCATTTAGTCCCAAACGGCGGCCTCTCAGAGAATATGTCCCTTTTATATGTCTGCTATTCAGTGGAGCGCAAAAGACTGACGCCAACTAAAGCTTCCAGGACTGTCTGAAATCATTCACCAGACACAGAGACCGAGGCAGGAGAGCATCTCAGCATCTCAACAAGTAAATCCAAACTTCTCCAAATCCGGTCAGTGCACGACAGGGTCAGATCCTTTTTGGCTCAAGTCCAAGGGCCTTTCCTGCTGTTTTAATAAGTCGCCTATGCCTCCTCACAGCGCGACACCGTTCATGTCCACTCTAGCTCTAAATTGAGTCCATTTCTAACGTTAGTCCGCCGGTGAGTGGGTTGAATCCGAGCAGAGGGGCTTAAAAAGGCCGAGAGGAAGCTGGAGGGACCCGCCAATTGATGCGCTGTCCTCCTGGAGGCCCTTAATGAGCTTCTGAATAACGGAGGCTCTTGACAGAGGGTCATACAGTCTTGTTTGCACTCTCCCCTCTGCTTCAGAGGCTAAATAATGACACTTTTATCACTTAAACAGGCCAGGAGAAGACCAAATAGAACATTCCCTAACAGTCGCTATACACCACATGCTTTTCTGTTGCAAATTAAAGCAAATAACTGCCCGTTCCCATGGCAGGACAGAGTCCACACTGCAGAGGCTGCTGAGAGCTGGTGGAACTGTGTGCTTTATGGCTCTGGAGAAAGCGCTTGGTCACTATAATGAGCTCTGCATTAGTGAGACCAAATTTGTTATTCTTGTTGTGGTGACGACGACGATGATGATGATGATGATGATGATAATGGTGATGACAAAGATGTTAAAATTAGACCTTATTTGACATGTTTCAAGATGCTGTTAAGGTTATGGGGGGAACCAGCTCCACATTTAACTTGCCAAATACCAAGTAAGTTTGACTAAGAAAACAAATACAGATTTGCCTAATGGTTTACTAGGTAGCAAGAAGGTTACATTTCATACAGAAATTCAGACAGGAACAGTTTAGAACAGAAAGCTTGTAGTTTATTGGGGTTAGATAACTGACTCAAGGGCGACTCAACTTTTGTGGTATAAGAAGGACAGAGTCTGCTGTTTTAAAAGTTGCTAGGGTTGTGATTGTGGTTTTAAAGCCCACTCATGATGAGGAACTGCTCCAAAGGCATTAACATTCAAACTTTCAGCATTATGGAAATGGACTAACTCATCGACTGGTGCAGGTCAGGGGTAATGATCGATCCCAGAATAGTACCTCATGCTTTGCAGAGATTTGCATTTAAGTTGAAGTTGACATTCATTTGTGTAGTTGGTTGACAGGTCGCTCTGATAATATGTCAACTCATGTAAGGAGGCCAGTTGCTGTAGATGTTTGAATGGTCATATTAAGTACTAGTTGCTACTTTGGTTGCCTGTTATGTTAGATTGCTCTACTGACATTGACAGCAGGTTTGGCAGCACTATTTTAACCATTATCATTTATAGTTCAATAGAAAATGGTTTATGAACCATTATAAACTGGTTGCAGACACATATAAGGTATGAGTGTTCGAATGAAGGATCCATAATTGGTATAGTAACACAGTTGGAATCATATGTAATGATATTTTAAAATACATTTATGAACGGTCTTAAACCTGCATGTGCATGATTTATACACGTGTTTAAACGCTGGCTGTTTATAGTCTATGGACACTTTGCTGCAGACAGATATATTAATAATCAATTAGAAATTCCCTCGTAATTGCTTACAACAACATTATATTGCGCTATAAACCATTTATTAAGTGTTTATATTCTGCTGATAGATGTTAAATAGGGGCAGGTAAAATTACTGAAAGTAATTAGTCATCATGAATCAAAGATAAATAGAGGGAGGTTTTATTGTATTGAATGAAAATGGCCAAGAAGAAAAAGGGTTCAGCTTCTCATATGTTTGGATGGTGGAAGTATTTAAGTAGCGTGTTGCTCCTGGTAGTGTGAATATGCTCTGATACCAGTCACAACAGTAACATACCAACAGTTACTCTGTGTTATTGCTATTTGAAGTGCCTTCTACATTCCTGTGTGATTATTTCACACGCACAAGTTTTAGAGTGAGTGCGTATAAGTGTCTGGGTTGAAGAGACACTCCAACCTGAGTGTATCTTCTCCATCTCCCTCCGCTGCTTCTTCTTCTTCTTCCTCTTGCTCTCTGTTTTTCTGGCAGGCGGATAAACATGATGGGACATTCCGCCGGTTGTCGTGGAAACGCTGAGAAAGCACAGCTGGGCGGGAGAATATGAGGTAATCTCACCCTGGGGCTGCTGGGTAAATATTGGTCTTAAATAAGGAGTAAAACCCCAAAAGAGGCACACACACACACACACACACACACACACACACACACACACACACACACACACCTACAGGGATTTATCCTAGTTTTGTCAAGAGTGGAAACACACAGGACAGACCTTCACACAGAGACTCATAATGGCCCATTTCCTGCTCTGCTCTGTTATTATTGGTTAAACAGAGTAAAAATTAATGATAGTTTGTGGTGTGACTAAATGTTTGTGGAAGTAAACAGTGGAGGTTTGACAGATGCAACCTCAGAGTGAAACTGAAATTCTGTTCAGTTTTGTCAAGTGGATTTTCTTCCTTTTTAGAACAAGGCTCAGACTCAATAGCTGGCCCACCCCGTTAGCAGCCACAGGCCCACATCCAGCTCAGAAACAACCTCTGAGTGGCGCAGCATACTTTAGTCTGATATATGGCAAAATAAGTATATATAGTGAATGGAAGTAACTAAAGAGTGAGCCCCTTCTCATCTCTGTTGAGAATCGCACATGTGCAGGATCGGGCAGGATGTTTATGGATGTAGCGACATTGCTATATCGTATCTTTCACAAATAAAAATTTTCTCATATGAGTTTGACCACGCCGAGTAGCTTTTAAAAACATCTGGCTATCGACAGTCGTAAGTAGGGAAGTGCTCTACTGAAAATGTGAGCTAAGTGCTAATGTCAACATGCTAACACGTTCACAATTACATACATTTGATGTTTAGCAGGTATAATGTTGACCATGTTCATCACCTTATTTTAGTGTGCAGCATGCCAACATTTGCTATATGTATAGAAATACGTACAATACGTATTGGACAATTTAAAACTTTGACCAGACGATGGCGCTAGATGGAAACTCACGGGACTACCAAAGTCATTATGAGCTTTATCCTCTGGAGACCATGAATCTGCACAAACAAATCTAATAGGAACTGCATATTTGGTCAAGACAGGTTGTTATATTGATTTTTAATGAAATTATTGACAACACAGACTCTTCAGCTTATAATTTAAGTGAATCTACAGTGAATCAACCCAACATATCCAAATGCTACCATGCCCTTCAGTTCAATTGTATAATGCATTTATCTTACAACACATACTTTGGCAGAAACACCATCCAGACACTAAACCCCTACTGGATGTTGGGTCCATATATCTTCTTAATACCATAGTAAAATCTGAGTAGGCGGCCTGGGAAGAATAGAATTTGAGTCTTGTGTGTTGGGAAACACAATTTCACTAATTTCACATGATGACTTAGTGTGGAAAAAAGTGTGTTGCATGTGATTTTTAAAATGTAAGTATGGTGTTTTTATACCGAAGCAGTTGTCATTTAGTTGTGCTTTTTTTTAAATATAGAGATCACCGGAGACGAGTTTGAGTCCAGTGTGCTGCTCCAGAGCAGCCAGAGCTGTTCTCACCATGTAAATCTGTCTTCCTACTCCTCCTCTGGCTCGGTCCTCAGTGTGCTGTAAGAACACAGCCAAATCTTTCCCACCACCACTGTAAATCTGAAACTAGACACTTCTCTCTCGTTCTGTTTCTTTCTCAGCTTCTTTCTATCTCCTTGACTCTGTCTCCTCCTCAGTTTTCCCTGTTACCGAGCTGCTTCTCTCCACTCACTGATCGATCATACATACAGTACAACTTTCACTCGCTCTCTGTTTGGTAAATTATGAAAGTTGGTGAAACTAAACTGGTGTGACAAAGATTTTCTTCAGTTTACTCAGGTTTATGTAGAGACAGATGAACATGGTTGCATATTGGCTGCATATACAGTTTTCATGGTGTAATTATTATACACAGCAATCATTGTATAACATTAGCAATACTGCACTTCATCAGGGGTTAGTGTTCGAAAGTTTGAGAGTCAAGGGAGACAGGGGGAGTAAGGGAGATGAGTTTAACTCCTGACCTCTGTCATTCTGACTCTCTCGGTCTTTCCTTCTCTCTCCACACCCAGAAGCTGACTCATTGCTCATTTGTCCCACCTTCCTCTGCATTGCATCCTCTGATTGGCTGGGCACTTAAGCCAAGAGCCAGTCACGGGGTGTTTACACGACTGGGCGGCCAGTGAAATGTAGGGTTCATGCATTTCTGTGTGTGTGTGTGTGTGTGTGTGTGTGTGTGTGTGTGTGTGTGTATGTGTGTGTGTGGAAATTGGATAAACCCCAATACCACATCATATATCTGCTTGCCCCCTCCCTCATTCCTCCCCCCTCTTTCTTCAAACCTATTTCTTCCATTCGCCAAACCGCTGCATGCCCTCAGCTCCTCCTTTTTGAATTATCCTCCCGCTCACCACTCAAACTTCTTAGCTCTCCCTCTCCACTGCCACATTAAAAACACACACCCATGTCAGCACCTTGCCGCGGCTCACACCCACCCCCCCTTCTGCTGTCTGAGTAATGTCTGTGTTTATTTTCTGAAAGAAGGTCACCCACTCTTTACTGTGTATTTTAAGGGTGCCATGTTTCATTTGTTTTAATAGTCATATTCTCAACGTGTACGCTGAGATGGCTGATAATCCGGGGATACTGATGCCACTCTTTGACGATGATGATTATAATGACGACATAGATGGCAGCAGTCATGGTGTCCTGAGCAGACGCCACACTCCCTTTTCCTGTGTTGCTATCCTGGCCTCTCTGTGCTTTGTTTACTAAGTTACTGAGTCCCCCCCTGTGTTGTTTTTCTCATATACATCAGTGGATTAAGGATTTATCTCAAACAAACCAGAGTTGGTGATTGTTGGAACAGTGAAAACACCAACAAAGACAGTTTTGGTGAGTTTTCTTTTGTTTCTGTCCACTTTGAATGAAGTTATGATGTTACGCAAGGTAAGGTACCATTTCTGTCAATGGAGTCTGGTGGCGAGTGA